GCTCAGAGGACCTCAATGTTATAAGTTGTCATTGGTATTCAGAGCGCTTTGTGGATTGTAAAGACCTGGGAGCTTATCCACTTGATTTCTACTGAATAAATTCTGTTTATGGGCTGCTGTTCCATAAATACTGTGGCTTCAGTTGTATAGTGCTGCGTTTAGGCTCTCCTTTGAAACAGACGCGTCTCCGTAGCCCGTATAGGACTCGCCAGAATGCTGATAAATGGGCAACCAACAACAGGGGTCCAAGAAATGCGACAGCCGATCTCGTATAAGAGGAATGTGTCGCTGCAGTATTGGTCGTCAATAACCGTGCACTCTGAAGCTCCTTCAAGTCTAGGACGTTTTCTTTTTTTTGCCTCACGTTTCCCCTCCTCCGCATAATAAATTTGCAACCATCTGAAGCCTAATGTATGCAAAATGGTAATGTGCCTGTCATTGGATCACGTTCTCACCATAACAGTTCGGCTTCCGTCACTAGAAAACTGCAGTAGTTTATACTTGCATCATAACTGCATAAAGCCCGTTGAAATTTCAGCGGGAATTTTTGCTGTTATCAACATGACAGTGGATCACATTGAGCTTCTTCCGCTGCGGTCCGCTCCTGACGTCATACTCTTCAGAGACAGCTGGAAATACACAGATACTGAATATGCACGTTATGATCTCGAAGATTTCTGCAAAGATATGTGCATTTATCAGTGCCACGATACTGTATTTGATAAAATGACAATATGCACTGATCGATGCTGCCATCTCGTGGTGTGTTATGTAAAGTTTGACACTCCATTGCCGACTGAAGCACGCCTTTCACCTCTGTTTACTGCTACCGTCTTCTGCTCCTGTTCGTGACAACTACCACACCATAACGATAGTAGGGCCTGTAGTAACTGTTAGCCGTTTATGTATTTCTGGTGCAGTGCCGGTTGCATTGTCTTCTTAGAGCACTGAAATATCACTGCGTCTTCTACTAACGACACAATTCGTTGCTACTCATGTATTGGAACAGTACTAATTTGTTTGTCAGTGAACTTCTAGTGCTTATTTGAGCTGTTATGGTTCGATTTAATAACTGGTGAAAACCAGAATTCCATGAGGACCTCTCTCGGCTGCTTTTATTGCCTAATCCAGTCCAATTCACTGAAGTGCTGCTGGTCTTGCCAGCACAGTCTTAATTGGTTTCGGGCACCTTAGGGACCCATGACCTAATTATTAAGCAGCTTCCTACTTCCTACGCAACAGAGAACACCTTAAGATAATAGTGAAACATGCTGTCTGTTCTTGCCAGTTTCTACGGCACCCGCAGCTGTGGTAAAGATTTCGGGTGCCATTCGAGTCCGCATTCTCCTTTTCTTTATTACGCAAGTATACTTTGATTTCTTAATCTTGCTTCTTTTTTAGATAGAGTGTATTGTGCAGTTGATAAGGAAAGCGCCCGCAGGTCCTTTTCGGGCCAAAACGGTTAGGCTTATTTGTGCTTAAGCATTTTTCCCCACTGGCTCTACAGCCCCCTTAGGCCCTGACCTCTGATTTTTCAGTTTCATGATAATTTTACAGACGGTAGGACTCCTTGAACGAGTGATCAGCTCGTCGCAAGGCATCTGCGTAAACAGAATAAACACACACATCAAACATCCATTCCTTGTATGGGATTCGAACCCACGATCTCGGCTTCCGAGCCAGCAAAGACAGTACATGCCTTAGACGGCTCTGCTACCGTGACCGGCGCTTGTGCATTATGCTGTATGATTTATCTTGTCGAAAGTTGTTTGACTGTATGACAGCAGGAATAGAAAAACAAATGGTTTGAATCCCACAAGCCTGGTATTGGTGTATTCGTGTGTATTTAACCGTAACTGTTTTGCACTAGAAATATTGGTTCACTGATCCAAATGTTGAGCTGGAATAAATAATGAATGCAATAAATTAGCTTCTTGACTGGAGCGAGTGTAGTCCCCATCCGATCCCATCAATCCAGTCTACTCCGCTCTAAACTTTGACAGCATTTAGACGGCAGCAGTTAAAAAAAAAGTTCCAAGTGCCTTAGAGTTTGATTCCGCTTCTTAAACACGTATAACACATGTCTTCTCTGTTATTTCGCTCAGTAGCATTTGGACAGTCGAGTTGCATGGAGGTTTATGACCTACTCTGAAGCGACAAGACGAAAATGAACCTAACAAAAATGAATTGGCAATGAATTAAGGACAATGTTCCATTTTTCACAGTTTTCACGCTGGATTAGTTCTTGCTTGGGTTAGTTTAGATTACTGGTTGGTTCTTGGCTTTGTTTCTTTCGGGATTCGAGTTTTTAAGCCTTGGTGAGGTTTGAAGAAGCTGGTTGGACAAATAAACATGAGAGCCCTCAAGGCACGAAGTGAGAGAGAGTGAGAGAGTTGCCTCGCGGCAGCTGGGGAACAGGTTACTTCGTTCGACTCGGCGTTTATTTACTTGGTGGAGACAAAGCGAGCATTTCCGGAAATCATTTGAGAATCCCCACTTCTGTCTCTCGGCATTGAGCACTGAAGCAGATAGCTGCTCCCTCATTGCTAAGTTGGAAACCAGGATGAAACATCAGCCCCTAGGCGAGGCGTGTGAAGTGTCCCATTTGGTGGTCCAGCCAAACAGGAGCCACGGTCGCACACAAACACTGGCGCAGTAGCAATAACAAAACGACTTAACTACACTCCCGTACCTCTTCCCAAAAGGCAATTCCCCATAAAACATAAGGAAAAGCCTGCCGTGTAGTCTATACGCCGAGTGTCATTCCACGTTGATTAACTGTCAACATTTCGAAGAGCAGTGCTGTTTACTTACACAACTTGAGATTTATTTAGGCATTCGGTTCTTTAAAATTGCTGGAAATTAAAATAAACCGTGCATCAAGGACTCAATTTACAATCCCAGAAACGTACACAGACAAGTTCTACATCTCTCTGAAGGAGTTTATAGAATTGCTGTAATGAATTCTGTCGCGGATCTCGGCAGTATGTCGGAACAGATATACGGGAAGTATTCTGTCTGCACTTGAGCACATTTATGAATGTATAGTCTTAAATTCAGGAGAAATTTGTATTATAAGAATGGCACTCCCTTCATCTCCGAACAGCTGTTAATTTCGTCGCTTTTCAACTTGGAGCTCAAAGTGCACAGATTTCCGATTTTCTTGATGTCAGATATTCTCAGGTTTGGCGCAAATACATGTACGTATGTAGTTGCATATATAGGCCATGCACAGGACAAAGGTTTTGTTGGAAAGCCTGAAGGTTTGGAGGAGCTAGCCGTAGGTGGGAAAATATTAAAATAGGCCTTGATGCAGGAGAGTGGCAATGTGTGGGCTGAATTCGTTTGGCTCAGTGTAGGGGTAAGTGATTGGCGTTTGTGAACACGGTAAATAACTTGCGGGTTTCATACATCGCGGTAAGTTTCTTGTCTGTATGAACGTATCTGAGGGACTGTTAGCTTAGCAAGATCTTCGCTTTGTTGAGCTGGTTGAGTACTTGGTATGTTAGTTATGTAAACCAATGGGCGATGTAAGATTTTAGGTTTTCCCGGCGATAGGTATGAAGAATGCTATCTTTTTGGATGTGGCGCTGTGTAGATATTATATAAACCGACGTTTCGGAGGGACTTATCGTCTCCATGTTCAGCGTAGAATAAAAAAGGAAGAATCCGCATCTCAGAAGATGGCATTCTTCAATGGGCGATAATGGCAGAGCGCTCTTTTTCCTGTCGAGTTTGGACGGACTGGCCATTTGAAATTGTTGAAATTGTATCTCTATGAGTTGTTTACAAACACCGACTTCCAGTAATGCTTATAGAACTGTGTGCTACATTTTTAGCACTTGAAACGGCGTGCAAGTAATTACATTTTGCTTAGGATTGAAGGTTCTCACAGCGGTGAGTATGAAGAAATCTGTCTTCTGGGATATAGCTGTGTGTAGTCCGGTAAAAGTCGGCGGATCACGCGCCCTTCTGTTCCCGAAAAGAGAACTCCTTATTACATTTTGATACTCGTTCTAGAGCCCCTGTGAACGTTTGATACAAGATCGAACACCTGTCTGTCACATTTTCAAAGGTTGGGGTTTCTTTAGTGACCAATTCAAATTATGGTCAATTACAAACGGACGAACTGGTTGGAGAGTAGAAGTGAAATTGGAGGTACACGAAACGGTTACATTTATGTTCAATATGTGAAGGAGTCTAACCACGGCTGGGTACCGTCTAACCCGAGGAAAGTTTCTCTTTGTTACAGCTGAGTCGTTCAGGCATGCCGGGATATTTCCAGGTTACGACTGCTTTCTCCTGCATCTTTACAAATTTCGCAGTCATTTATCCCGTCGTTAGGTACCCGGTACAAACCATGACTGGATTCAGGCATTTCATCGACTTTCTCATTCTCTCAAAATGACCGCCAGGGTGAAGTCACTCAGTCGGCTGTACGGCTTCCTGTCTGATCATTACTAATTTACTATAGTAGCCAATTTCTACCATTGACAGGTGGACTGCTATGTGTCATTCTACGCAACAAACATTCTGCATACGTTTCTGTGAATTAATACACTTTTTTATTATTATTGCTAGTGGGGTGGGACCAAGTCCCTTGTACTGCGGCCACTTCTGGCCTATTGTATCAGCCCCAGATGATAGGTGAGGGTGATTGTGGAGCAATTGGTGGAATGAAGATTTGCAGGGGAAACCGAAGGACTCGGAGAAAACCTGTCCCATCACCACTTTGTCCACCACAAATCCCACTTGACCAGATCCGGGATCGAACCCGGGCCGCCGTGGTGGCAAGCCAGCGACTAACCGCTTGAGCTATGGCGCGGCCCAATTAATACACTTAGTTTCATATTCCGTAATAGTGGAGGCAGCCCGGTTTTCTGATCAATAGTGATGCCCGTGATAGTCGGAGAGAATTCTTCTGCTATTAATGGAACCCCATGAATCAGTCGTGAGAGTGGCGGGAACCAACCCTTGAGCATGTTTATTTCGTTTTCCAGGGAAGAAGAAGTTCCAATCTGATCCGTCCTGTTGCCCCGTATGTGGGGTGACGGTGAGGCCTGGCGAACTAGAGGCACATTTTGTCCAGGAGCTGGAGAGGCTGTACAAGCTTAATTCCAGCAGTCGGGTTCGCAGGCACTCTCTAGAGAATTCGCGGCCTCCATTGCCACCGGGTCCCACTTCCTCCTCGGGCCCTCGTCGAGAAGGCTTCGGATCAGCTGGCGACGGAACTCCGGAAGGACGGTGGGATGTAAGTATTGCATAGTTTGTATTTATGGGTTATTTAATGGAATTGTGAGCTCAGATTGCATGGCTTCAAATGACAGAAAGATCAGTTCATAGTGAATTGGGGATGATTTAGATGGAAGCTGTCACGACTCAACTGAAGATAATATCCTGGCATTTACCTGGACACAACAAAGAAAACCACGAAGAGCCTCAGCGTAGATAACCGATCTCTGGACCGAGATTGAACCCTCGACTTCACACTAGGTGGCCATTGACACATAAACTGTCAGGCCTTTTACTCACTGGACCACCATGATCGAGCCACAATAGTGTGGTTAAGCTACATGGATCATTTCACAGTGCGTGGCTGGTGCCTTAAGCCGCTAGGCCATTGAGATAGAAACCGTTAGGCGTTCTACACAGTCAGCCACCACGGCGTAGTTAAGGTTTGCGAAACTTTGTACGCTGGGTGTTTGGTATTCTGAACCACTAGACGATTAAGATGTCTAGTCCTCTCACACACGGGCCACCATGTACATGTCATCAGTGTGGTTAAGCAGTATGAAACTTCACACTTGATAGCTGGTTCCTTCAACAGTGCCGCCATTCAGCTTTTACACTCTGAGCTACCATGGTCACGGCACCATAGTGTAATTAAGCTGTGCGAAAGCTTTCGTACTGGGCTACTGTTTCTTTAAACCACTTGGCCACTGGTACATAAACCATCAGGCGTACCACTCACGGAACCACCATGATCTAGCCCGCACAGTGAAGTTAAGCTACTCGAAACCTTTCGCACTAGTTAGCTGGTGCGGTGTGCGCGCGCATGGAAGGGATGTTTTCTGTATTGTCAGCGCCGAGGTTATGTAACGATGGTCAGCAGTCAGCCAGCAGTTTACTAGACTAGACTAGCCTCCCTTGGAGATGTGAGTCAGAGTCAGCAGCTGAGAGGAGTCAGTGGGTGGTATGTGGAGTAAGGACCAGTTAGCGAGTGAGTGCCCATTGGAGTCACCCCCAGTGGTAGTGGAGTGGCCTGTAGTAATCATACGTAAAAGTTTTCGGAAGAACAGAAATACGATGCTGGCCGGGACCAGCAACAATTACCCAACCGACAGAGGCTCCCAGAGCCGTCAAGACAGCAAATATGAGCATGAATCCCATGTACTTTGTACCAACAGTCACTGTGCTGGTGAGGACTAGCAGTAATTTAGCAGTCAGTCAGTCAGTGATTGCCAGCTCTCAATAGAGAGAGTAAGTGGAACTGACTGAGTGAGTGAGTGAGTGAGTGAGTGAGCGAGCGAAAGTGAGAGCCAGCACAGTCACTCCCCGGTAGACGGTGGGTGATCAGTCCCTTCCTCTCATCGAAGAGGAGGCACAATTTCAAAATACGTAAAATTCTAGACAGAACATAAATAAGATGATCGCCCCGACCGGGCCAGATTCCAAGAACGACTGTGCTGGCGAAGGCCAGCGGCAATTTCCTGAACTGCACTGGTAGCTGGTGCCTTAAATAACGCAACCTGTGATACGTAAACCATTAGTAGGATGACCACACTTTTGGAAAGGAAATTCGGGACAGTGCTCTAGGAGAGAGGGAGAGTCGGAGAGACGGAAGGGAGGGAACCAGAGAAGGGCACATGTACATGCTGAAAAGTGATCGCACGTTTTCTATAAAATAAAGAACTAGAAGAATGTTAAATTTGAGTAGTGGGTGTGAAGAGTTCTGTCTTCTGTGATGTAAATACCTGCATAATGGTTTATTGCGGAAGAGGCAGCGGTGTTACTGACCATCTTCAGGCCAAGAAACACAAAGATGCTGTTCAAGCGGTGTCTTCAAAAATTTCCTTCACTCTTCAGAACGAGTTCCGTGGGTGTAAATGGATCTAAATGGCGGACGCATAAGGAAGATGCCGTAGAACACAACGTTAAACATGACCTGCCATTTCGCTTTTGCGACTGCACGTTGAAACGGATTCCACATACATTTGAAGGAAAAATTTTCTATGAACCTGCAAGAAATGATGGTAATGGTAAGGTAAAAGTGTCCCTGTAACAGGTCGTGGAGGTCCACAGGGCTGTGAGACGTCGAGGCTCCCACATTTTCTAGACAATCGGCTTATCGATGGCGGTGAGGTCAACCTTACGCGCCTGCCGCACTTTACCCCCCTCCCACGGGAAGATTCCTGGTACTCATTTACGTATGTTAGAGGCAGAGTCGACCCCAGGGCCATAGTGCGGTTGGACGGATTAGGTCAATTGAAAAATCCAATGACTTCATCGGGAATCGATCCCGCGACCTTTCGGCTTGTAGCATAGTGCATCAACTAACAACGCTACCGCGTGCTCCCGGGAAAAAGATGAAGGTACTGCAATAAATCTAGTCTTCCCATTCGCTAATGACGAATTATGTAAGGATTTGGGTGGAATGCGGTGTTGCCATAAGTGCGGACGCAGCTAACCTAAGATCAGTAAAGTTAATACCAATTTTGGTTTTCTTCTTTCATCCCGCGAAAGGTATAAACGTTGAATTATTACATGTACGCTCAGTCAAGGGAGGAATGTTTGAAATCGTTGCCAACATTGTTCAGTATTCAATTCATAGATACAAAATCGTGGAGAAATCTGTCGTCTTTTGACCTGAATTTAGCGGGGCGCCTCGTAGAAGAGAAACTAACGAAATACATTATACGACTAAAAGACAGTGAAATAGGACATACTTATAATATACAATTTCTTTATTAAAACCGTCACAACACAACTATATTAAGGTCAGTGCCTAGTTTGGCTGTGCTTAAAAATTAAAATTCGGCTATTAAAAACCATCATCAGGCAAATACATGGTTAACATATATACACCACTGAACTGCAGTACTAATAAAATTGGATACAATAATATTATTTATATTAAAATACTTGGCGTAAAAATACAAAAATTTGATTATATAAAACAAAAGTTATAATATAAAACAAGAATAAAATTCTTCGAGTGATGCTTTACATCATCGAGTCAGTCGCTGTTGTGATGCACACGCTGTGAACATCTGTGCACAGTGGAGCTCTAATACGCCTCCAATAAATGTGAAGCATTGGCGATGAAAATATAAAAATACTTCCGCATCTACACGCTAAGGGTTACTGAGGTACATGTCTTCTGTGACGAAGTTGTGTGATTGGTGCCTTGAACGAGTGTAAGACTCTACAGTGTGGCTCAAACGTTTTTTGTCGTTATTTCTGTCTATAGAGGGACATCGAAATGTGTATTGAGCCTTTGAAAGCCAATTTAGTTAGTGAGCCGGAGTGCCCAACGCTTCTACTTAATTTCTTTCAAAATGGGAGTGCCAAGTTATTATTTAAACCTCCTTATAAACAGTTGGCTTTTTTTTCACGAAGGGAATACAGCTTGGTCACTGAGACATAAAGCATTAGGCTTTTACACGAAGCCAACATGGCCACGCATCCACATTTGCAGTTATTTGTCTGGAACCTCCCACGCTGGGTGGCTGGTGCCTTTAATCACGTGGCCACTGAGGTATAAACCATTAAGCCTTTTACACACGGAGCCAACATGGCCACGCATCCACATTTGCAGTTAAGCTGTAGGAAACCTTTCACACTGAGTGGCTGGTGCCTTTAATCACGTGGCCACTGAGGTTTAAACCATTAAGCCTTTTACACACGGAGCCAAAATGGTCACGCATCCACATTTGCAGTTATTTGTCTGGAACCTCCCACGCTGGGTGGCTGGTGCCTTTAACGACGCGGCCATTCAGATATGAACTATTAAGCCTTTTATACACGTAGCCACGTAGATGTAAGCCATTAGGCCTTTTGCACATGGAGCCACCGCAGTTTTGTTCATTTGTATGAAACCTTTCACGCCGGGTGGCTGGTGCCGTAAACCAAGCGACCACTAAAATTCAAGCCACTAGGCCTTATACACACCACAGTGCACAGTTAAATTATTCGAAACCCTTGACGCTGGTTGGCAAGCCATGCGATTTTGTCATATGGCGTCTGTTACGCAAGTACAGAAGTGCCGCGGCTACGGTGGCTCCGTTGGTAAAGAACCGTACTGTACTTTCTGTATAATTGCCACTTGTCTCAACACTTTTGACACAGAACAGCTGGAAAGATCCAGTCGTTTCATATATGATTTGCCAATGCAGTAAATTTTCTGTACAGATAGTGATTACTTCTTGTAGGGGGGAAAAACTATTTTTTTTTACCGTTTTAGACTTACCAAAGGATCAAAGCCAATCGGCAAGGAAGGTTACGAATTAAGAACAGAAAGAGGAAAGCGGATGAAGCAACTTGTCCCGTCTGCAACGAGAGGGTACAGGGAAGTGTGGAGGAACTCAACAGCCACGTGGAGATGTGCCTGAGAAAGGTGAGTCATCAGCATGTGCCTCTAGTTATACCTGTAGGTGCGACACATTGCACTTCTAGACATTCTCTTCCCCGCCTTAGAGCGATTTTCCTTGAAGTTTATCTCCCCACAACCATGCTTATATACCGTTTCACAAAAAGGCAAAAATATTTTTCTTTTATATTTCGATAAATATTGGGACGCATTTTCCCCATGCAAGTAAGGTTGAGCCACAGAAACAGCCGTTTCTAAGTAATACACAACAATGGAACGACGGAATTATGCAACCCACTTCTAGGAAACGGTTCGGTAGACACACTTCCGCGCAAACGCAGTGACATCACACACCAACAGTACTTCGCTATCATGTGACTTGTGTTCTGTGTGGTCTTCGCTACGCAACAGTAAAACTGTGTTTTCTGCGTTTTCCATGCCGCAGCTAGATAACACGAGTCCGCTGGCAGTCCAGGAGAGTTTTGACTTGAGTTCCGAAGTTCCAAGGGAAGAGCAGTGTGGCCAGCAGAAGCATGAGAATACTTAGTGTGTGACGTTACATGCGCTGTAGTAAATCGGTATTTGGAATGTGTAATTTAGTGACACTTTTATAGTTCCTGTGTTATAAATCCGTTGCCAGGAAACGGATAGTGAAGACCAGTGGGGATACACTGAGAAGATTTGGGTGTATTGATGGTAAATTGTGTAAATCAGCAATGATGTAATAATTGTAGTTAGGACTAGTGAATATCCAATAAATCGACTGAACGATCCAAATCCGCGTCTTAGTCACTAATATATGTGACAATATCTACCAAAACAAAATAGTATGTTCCGTATACAACTACATGATTTAATTATATACAGTTTCATGTCTTGCACATATATTCATACAGTCACGATTTTAGTGTGACTATAGACAGGGTTTGGATTGGTAATCAGATTTACTGAACTCTTACAGCTCGGAACTACAGTTAAAGATTATGCTGTCACTGTTCTACACTTCATGAACCACTCTAGGACGCACTAGGTCTTCTCAGTGTTAGTCTTCAATAGCCGTTGCTTGGTAGCTTCTGTCAACGGCGGACGGCCAGCTGCCTCTGGGTTCCCGAACTTTTCCCGGCCTCACCTACTAGCTCTCACAACAACTGAACCCCAACGGTTATATAACTGTCTCCGACAAAGGCAAAGTCACGTTACGACCGACGGTCAGTCGGACAGTCTGTCTTGCTGTCAAGCTGCTAACTGGCTCTGCTTATAACATCTCGGCTCGAACCGCGTAGAAAACACCGCTTCAGTTATTTCTGTATTCTCTTATTGCCGTAGAAACAAGCTTGTTTACGGAGCCGTTACTTAGCGACTGCTGTCGTATAGTTGCTTATTTCGTGGTCGTTACATAGCAACGTGTATACTAGCCACAATATGATAAGGTATGTACCGGTAATTAAAAATAAAATTTTACATATAAATCACTGATGGACAGAGTAAGCGTTTGTGTTTTCAGTCTTACTCTATTCATACTTAAAGCTGCTTAGCTTTAAACTTGTGGAACTTTTCGTATGTCACTGAATCTTACTTACCCCCATAAACCGGCATATTATAATGCAGGTTGTTTGTGTTAAAGCTTTAGGAGCAGTGTAAAATACACAAGTTCGAAAGGAGGCTGGGTGAGCCTCAGAGCCGGTCTGGACCACGCGGAGAAGAGAAAATTCTTTACCCTATCCGGGTTCAAACTCCGACTCCTCCGTCGTTCAGCCCATAGCCAGTTGCTATAACGACTACGTTATCCCGGTTCGATCCAAATTGTAGAGTAATTAGTGAATGATGAATTGGAACCAGTCTTGAAAAGGAATCAGCCGTGACCTCTTTAAGTCGCTTCCGTCCCGGAATTTGCTTAGAGGGACTGAGAAAAGCGTGAAAGATTTCAGTTGGCCTGATAGCCGATCTCCGAGCCGAAATTCGACCCTGGAAGCACAAATCGTATTTATTTCATGTGATGACCCTTTAGCCGTGCTATCCCTGCCCCAAATATAATTTTATTTGCTATCTAAATTGATATTTCTAATATCTAATTAATCAGAAAACCATACGCGCGTGCTGCAATAGTTGCGGGTCTTGCTTCCAGCATGGTGCGACGGCTGACGAAGACGAAAACGTGGACGTTGAAGGCGACAGCGAAATGTACGAAGAATACGAATGGGCAGGACAGCGACGGATACGCGCCACAACGTTACTTGTTGGTGGGTTTGCTGGTGAGTACCGTACCCTAGGGTGCCTAATTCTGTCAGGTTACTGTGATCGCGCTCAACTTGAGGGCAGTAAACGATTCCATGAAAGTCTACTTAGCGTTTTGTAAATATACGCTGATTTCATTTTTGGTTACATGAGCCATGAGAACTGGGACAAGCTGGGAAATATATGAGTAGCATAACAATTCTAGCGCTACAGCTCTGTTTCTGTCTGTAGTTATTCATTTCATGAAAAGTAAATAGCCGAAAACAGGCGAAGCAAACAAGCATTCCGTATTTTGTGTCTTACGTAAATTAACTTTTATAATGTTTTTCTCTCCCCTGTTGCTCCCACTTTGGAGCATAGGGCTGATTTCTCAGTTTCATGATCATTTTACAGACGGTAGGACTCCTTGGACCGGTCTAGAAAACCGAAATTAACGGCCGTGGGGATTCGTTGCACTGACCACGCGACACCATCTATCCGCAAAAGTTGGCACTAAACTTCGCCGACAAGCGGCGGTCGCTCCGGTATAGTTCGCTTGCGGACTAAAAATCACGGAGTTAGGACTCTTTGGAAAGATTGCAGGCAGAATATATGCAAAATTTTAAATCACCACATAATTTAATTTTATTGTGTCTTGTATATCTGCTCATATGCTTCACACAAAACATATGCATAAGGACATAAAGCCATTTTGGATTTCCAGCTGCTGGCATGGCAACTTCAAGCAGCCGTCCCAGCCCAGTTGAAGAAGAAGCAGATCTTGTGGTGGATGGCGATGACTCGACTACATATGGACCGCCACAGTACTCGGAAGCTGACGTTGTGATGACAAGTGCAGATGGACCACGAGAGGAGAGGGAAAGGGAAGCCTTACGCGAGGCGATAATCAGGTAGAGTAATACCCATGGTAGTGTTCTGTGTATCTGCGGCTCATACTGGCTTAAAGGCATTCTCCAGTTTTCTGAAACAACAGGCCCAGCTGGCCATCTGATCATACAATAATATCGTGAACGACACGAAAGTAATCAAGTAAAGTGGAGTTTTGTTAATTTCTAATTGCAAAACGATATCTGTCACAGTCGTGTTTCACTTAACTCGTTTTGTTTACATTGAAGCAAGCCATAACAGAACCCCTAAAGTAGGAGGATTGGTGACATGGTTAGTGATAGTTGATAGTCACAGTGTGTCCAGGTTCTCTTAGGACTGTTCATTAAAAATACAAGACGTGAATTATTTTCAAAATTTCACTCTTTTTGTTCAAAATATTCTCCTTCTGTATCAGTACATAGCTGGAATCGATTGAAAAGTTTTCGAAAACAGTCACTATACTCCTTTTGTGGAATCGCATTTAAAACTGCGGTACATTCCTTTTGGATGTCCTGGATGGTGTCGTGATGGTCTCCTTTCATCGCCAACTTAACTTTTGGGAACAACCATAAATCTGCTGGGGCCAAATCTGGCGAATACGGAGGATGGTCAAGGACTGTGATCCCTTTTCTGGCCAAAAAATCGCGCGCGCAGTCTGCGATTTGTGTGGTGGGGGATTGTCATGGAGGAGCAACCAGGAACCTTGCTCTCGATATTCAGGTCGAATTCGAAGAATTCTCGCCCACAAACGATTGAGGAGTCCGAGATAATAATCAGAATTCACTGTTTGACCTTCTGGCAGAAATCCCATGTGAATGATTCCTTTGGAATAAAAGAAAACGGTTAGCAGTGTCTTTACTCGACTCTTTTGCATGCGCACTTTCTTTGGTTTCGGCTTCTTTGGGCTCAACCACGCTGCACTCTGCCGCTTTGTGAGAGGCTCATATTGAAAACACCGTGTCTCGTCACCAGTAACAATCGATTTTGTAAATTTTGTATCACTTTTGGCCGACCGTAACATCTCTTTGCAGTGTTCCACTCTGGCATGTTTGTCATCGCCTGAAAGCGCGTGCGGTACAAACCGCGCACAGACCTTCCATTTGCCCAAATCCTCGGTCAAAATTTGATACACAGTACTTTTTGGTATTCCCAAAGGCTCCTCGATGAGTCTTGCAGAAACACATCTGTATGATGTAAGGATTTCGGTCACTTTTTTCACATTTTCTTCAGTGTGACTTGTTCTCGGCTTTGATGCATGTGGAGCGTCTTCAAGGCCCTACCTGCCATCACGAAATACAGCATACCATCGAAAAATGTTCGAGCGACTCAAACAATCACTACCGTACATACTTTTCATCATTTCGTACACTTCTCCGGCTTCAAACAAAATTTGATGTTGGCTCTTGGTCAACCGCCATTTTCCAACGAGCGTCAGAACAGTACTGTTACACTCAAGGTCAGAACACATGATGCAGCGATGCTTGTGCTTTGAAATTATAGTCAGCCATAGCTGAAACTTCAGAAATCTTAACGCCAAAACTCGCCAACAGATGGCATTGCAGGGAAAATTTAAAAAAAATTAGCCCTGCCAGGTCCTGGACACACCGCGTATGCACAGACATCCATGCCTTGGATGGGATTAAAACCTGTGAGCAAGTGAGATGATACTGAAAGGATCGTGAACAGGGCTCATGCTGTCTGTTATAGGCCTTTATACCGGAAGTTTATAGCAATTGTCCACTCAAACTGAATGGAAGGACGTCTTAGAGCCATGAACCATGTGCATAAGTTGACCAAGAAGACATCTTACAGCTGTCTGACAGATTACTTAACCAGAATTGGAGGAAATCTTACAGCCATCACATGGGTGTTGTAATCCAAACAGGCGTCTTACAGCCATCAAGCTGATTATTTAATCTGAGGCAACGTCTTACAAGTAATGCAACCTGAACGGAAAGTGAGATTGCATGCTAACCCCAACAGAATGACTTAAGAGTCTGAAAACAGATGGCATGAGCCCAGCATGGAGACATCTTTTTTATTTTTGGGCTGGAGTAACACTTTCACTTGGTATGCAGGCTACTACTGGGCCTTTGTATCATCCCAAGTTAATGGTGATATGTGAATATTAAGCATTTTGTGGAATGAGAAGTGGCAAGGGAAACAGAAGTACTTGGAGAAAATCTGTGTCAGTGCCACTATGTCTGCCACAAATCCCAAGTGAGCTAATCGGAGATCGAAGTCCCCTCTCCACAGTGGGAAGCCACTTACTAACGGTCTGAGCTATGACATGGCGGGAACGCATCTTACAGCAATCAATCACATAACGTAACCTGGACTACAGCAGAATTACAGGTGGTGTAAGCCACACAGGAGGACGTCTTACAGTCGTCAAGCAGATGTCACCCAAATGGGAGGGCACTTTAGAGCCCACAAACAGAAAATGTAATCCAAATGTATTATAGATCAACAGATTGCTTAATCATAACAAGAGGAGATCTCACAACCACCAGACAGATGATGTAATTGGAACGGAAATATGACGCATCTCAAATGAAGCACATTTTACAGCTACCAAACATATAATGCAGTATCAACAGGATGACGTCTCACAGTCATCAGACAGATAATATAAACCGAACCTGAGGACATCTCACAATTGTTGGATAGATAACATTACTTGTGAACCATTTTTGATTCATTTATATTTAAGATTTTGGCTTTGTATAAAGCAGGGACTGTAGTGCACAGGATGAACCATGATGGAATTAGGCGATTGACATCTAACCTACACCTCAACACCACATTTAATCAAAATCCATTGTGTAATTTCAGAGATTGGTGGATATGACCTTTTTTTTTTGTGATTCATAAAGAGAATGTATAAATACAAAATTATATTGAATATTTTAATAATTCTTGTTCTTGGTTTAAAATTCTTCACCATAACATTTTTATTTCTTCTTATGTACAGTCCAGATGGAGGTAAACCAGTGTCGCAAAATAAAGCCAATGCAACGGAAGTTGAAGTGAAGGAGGAACCCATGTCACTGACCACTTCGAGCCAACAGCTATCTGATGTAGCAGAGACGACATCGTCAGACAACACCGGGTCAGCAGCAGGAGTGGGTAGTGACGTTCAGACACGTAACCAAGTGCTAGAAGCATTGAAAACGCGGATCCGTGAGCTCGAGACAGAAACCAGAGCGGTTGGCGATAAGTTCAAGTGTCTGATATGTATGGTGAGTACTATTATTAATGTCTCCTGGAGAATTAGCTGTCAAACATGAGCTTTATACAGAGACTCTCTAATCTGCCTCCGTATCAAGTAATGGTATTGAGATGTTCCACAGTCACATATCAGTTATTTTTGTTATGTGTAAATATTACAGCTCTGGCAATTATACCTAAGCAGTTATTTCAGTCTGTTACTTGTTTCTTGGTGCACGCGGTAGCGTAGTTGTTTGAGGGGCTATGCTACCAGCAGGAAGGTCACGGGTTCAAGTCCCGATGAGGTCATTGGATTCTTTCAGTTGACCTAATCCTTCCAGCTGCACTATGGCCCTGGGGTTCACTCAGCCTCTAACAGAAATGAGTACCAGGAATTAAATAATTTTCCTGGGGAGTAAAGCGCGATCAGCGCGTAAAGCTGACAACCTTACCGCCATCTTTGAGTCGATTGTCTAGATAATGTGGGATCCTCATGTCTCACAACCATATGCGCCTTCATGGCCTGGTACAGGGATAGTTTTACTTACTTTTTTTTACTTGTTTCTTAATCTGATTAATGAGTTACAAGGTCGTCCTGGTGTTGAATATTGATATTGTGTTCTTCTGGGTTACAATCCTATGTTGTAGTCTCGTAGTTGGTGACCAGCATTTTGAAGATACTTGCTGCCTCATTCCTCTCTACAGAAAGATGGAGGCAGTTGCTACTCCAACTACAACTCTGTGTGTTAATCCAGAAGAGCACAATATGAAAGAGAGTACAGTAGTCATAGCTGTTACAGTGCTGTTCAAGCATTGCAGCAGAGTTTTTGGATCTGATACACATCTTCATTTCCAGTCTTGATTTTTGATTACATGAGTATACTTTAACTTCTTTAATTTGATTATCTTTTTATTCATTAAAATTTTGAGTACTATTCTATGTGTAGTGATATTGACAAGGGAATTGACCATATCACAGGTAAATAATACGTATTATAAATTATATTCTTTCAAATAAAATGTAATTAAATATTGAGCTTCATTTTCAATTTAGTTCAATTTATTTTCAGCTTTATATTTATAACACAAGGTTCATCTCATGCAACCCCAATTCGATGCATATTGATGATCTCTTGAGAATAACCCTCCCAGATATTTGACACAATTATGAATGAAAACTTTACTTCCCTTCTTGTAAACATTTCGTACTGTTGGATTTCAGTTGTGACAGCATTATGTTCTTTACAAAGTGAGTTATGTGTGCTATCCTTTTTCTGATGCATGCATAAGTCAAGGTGTCTTATGCAAGTCCGAAGGAAGAAATTCGTTTTAGTGGCTGAAGCAATTGTGAATTGAGAAATTAAGTGTCCTTACAGAGTTTGATTTTCATGTTAGGGTAATCATGTAACCAATGTTAATTAAATAATAAGTCTTCAGATTTTAATTCATGTATGCAATATAAATGTTAGGGGATTGAAAAACCTGTCAAATGTCAGTGTAGTATCTAAAATAGGCCACAGTGCATCCTTACATGTCCTTTCAAATTCAGTGATTATTGAGCATTCCACCATTTGACACTTTTGTCTGAGATACCCACAGCATCGTTGAATAAACCATAGATAATAAACAAATTTCTTTGTAGTTACTATAGGATTCTGACGATGGTGTATAACACACTGATATATTGGGTTTTTGGACTTTAACCATCGTCCTGCTTTTTAAGATAACTAATAAAAACACGACGTTTCGGAAACTGGATCTGTTTCCGTCCTCAGGTGAAGGAAAACACCTATTCTGTTGGGTCTGTTAGAAAGAGCTAGCCTCAATCACTGGACGAAATTTCTTTGTACATATTTTTGAAAGCCTTCTACTAGCAGTCCTTATATTATATAAAACAAATACAAAGCACTCGTAAATCTGGATATACAGTGAAACCTCACTAATTCAGAATTCATGATGATTCAGACAACTGTTTTCTTTTTTGCACATTGTGACCTTGATGATCACATTGCCACTGCCCAAAATGTTTTATGACTGATGTCAAAACATTTTTACATTTTATGACAAGTACATTTGTTTTATGATGTGCAGCCTAAGTTTCAAAATAAAGTTGCAGTGCCTAAAAAGACACCTGAAGTTCATTTTATTATTTCCCTGAACATATTTTCAATAGCACTTCTGTAATTGAGATTTCCACTAATTTGGGCAAGGTTTTGCACTCAGTCAGAATTAGTGAGCTCTTACTGTAAGCAAGAAAATTCTTTTAACTCATATTAACTCTTGATATATCATCTTGTTTGAAATTCATGTGCTGTTGCATTATGAAGCAGTTCTTTAGAATATTCCATAAGATTTGAAGTTTAAAAATGGTGTGTCTGTTATGTAAAAAAAAAAGCTTCTCTTGAATTCATCAATTGATTATTTTCATTGGAGGGGGGTTACACACACACACGATCAGTATGTTAGAAATCGTTCATTACTTCACCTGAGTATATTTACTCATTTTCCATATTTACAGTTTCACTTCATGGCAGGAATGTTGAGGATATTTTTCATGACTTATTTTGCTAGATCAGTCATGTGATCTGCTCGGCTACTCTTTCCCTGGTGTTAAAGTAGATGGAGCATTTTGCTAACACACATCTTTGCCTGTACTTCATTTCGCATGAATATGGTCATGATATCAGTAAAGTGGTAAGATACACAAGGGATGCAGTTTAGTTTTCTGGTGTCATGGGAATAGTGATTGGCCTCTTGTTTGGGTACTAAAATCAAATTGTGGTCAAGTCGTTTCTGTGGTTTTTCTCAGACTCTCTAGCCAAATACTGTGACGTGTGGTGTTTCTGTACATGTCATTGCCATCACCTTCAAAATATGTAACTATTTCTCCGCCTCATCTTACACTATGTAACTTCTGCATATGGAGCAGCGCCATAAATTTAAGGGAGCTCAGTTTTATACATTATAATTGAAATATTTTGGTAGAAAAATGGGATAAAACTAGCAACAAACATACATGGGCATCAAGGTAAGTCTCCACAGATTCTTAAACGCTGTCACAGATGGAGCTGAATGGTCAGCTTCACACTTTGGGAAAAGACCCTCAAAGTTATAGTGGGCGAGTCTTAATGTGGTGGTGGACAGAAGAATGTTAATATTTCTTATCTTATCCTAGGCTATGTAACAAAGATCCCAGAATAAGAATTCATGGAGGGTTTTGAGTTGACAGTCGAAGATGATTGAAAAGAAATGGCAGGAAAGGAATTAGGCTATGTAAAGGAGACTTCATATGTGCTGTAGTTAGAGTGAGACTGTCATAATCCATTGCCAGGATAGGACTAGTGAAACTTAGTAGACTTAGCATATAGTAGCTATTTTTAGTGTGGAGATCAGCAATAGCGCTCTATCAATTGTAGTTACAAGTTGAGCATATAAGTGGTCAGTAAATCCGATATCTTATCCAAACGCCATCTCATAGTCACACCCTAATACACGTGACAGTATAGTCTTACTCTCTTATTCTTCATGCTTTAATCACTGTAATAATAACATATTAACTCTGTGTTATATAATTTTATTTCTTCTTCTCCTGTTCATCACTCAACCTAAAATATTTTCCTGAGTTCCTGGTTATTCAGTCCCTTCAATTTTTAGAGTTTCATCGGAGTAAGAAATCAAGACCGATACACACAGATACCAACAGCATATACAATGGAACCTGAATATAACGATAATTTATGCAATTTCTTAAGATGCTAATTATGACGAATACTTACAGTATTCAAAGCCGAAGGCCGCGCCATAGCTCAAGCGGTTAGTCACTGGCTTCCCACCGCGGCGGCCCGTGTTCGATCCCGGGTCTGGTCAAGTGGGATTTGTGGTGGACAAAGTGGCGCTGGAGCAGGTTTTCTCCGAGTACTTCGGTTTCCCCTGCCAATCTTCATTTCACCAGTTGCTCCACAGTCACCCTCACCTATCATCTGGGGCTGGTACAATAGGCCAGAAGTGGCCTCAGTTCAAGGGACTTAGTCCCACCCCACTAGCAATAAAAAATAATTAGAGTATTCGAAAATAGTTGGAATTCATAACCTTGAAGACCAGTTTATAATTACACATATTACTGTATTCCAAGATTTAAAAAAAATTAGGCATGACAGTGTTTATTCTTTTTGGTACGATTGCAACGAAAACTTGCGGAAAATATCCGTATTAGCTTCTCCATCTTTGTATATCAAGCGCACTGTCTCCATAAACAAATCGAGAACTGCGAAACGGATTTTCATGAAATTTGATATTGGCGAGTTTTACTCAAATGAGCCAGCATACAATAGTTTCGATTAAAATCTGAAAGTGATAAAGGCTACTACCAAAATTCGTTCGTTTCTGCGTGTGAATCTCCCAAAATAATTCACGCTAAATCGCAAAAAAATTATCAGAACGAAAATTGTTTTGAACAAGAATTATAGATAAAAATGAAATTCCCAATTTATATATAATCATCTTCACCATAAGTTAAATGGTTTCCGAGATAATGAAGCAAAATGGATTTCATGCTGTCTGCAGGCAATAATATGACCGCCTCTGCGGTTTAGTGGACAGAGTTCGGTTTCCGGTGCTATCAGATTTTCTGAGAAGTAGTCGGGGTCCACTCAGCCTCGTGAGGATAATTGAGAAGCTGTTTCAAGGAAACAGCGGCTCCCGTCTAAAAACCCGAAATTAACGGCCGTGGCACTAACATCGCCTAAAAGCGGTCGGTCGGTATAGTTCGCTTGCGGACTAAAACCACGGAGTTTTTGTTTGTTTGTTTGTTTGTTTGCAGGCAATAATAGAACGAAGTTGCCAGAATTACAGCGTTACGCGAACGTTTCATAATATTATTGAAGTGCTTATCAGGTGGATGTGAAAGTAAGAAAGAATAATTCAACATGCTCGTCGTCCTTCGTAGTACTTGAATTGAGGATTTGACTGTGTAATCTATTGTACCTTAAACTGTCGGTCTTGGTTTTTCGATCGTGAATTAGAACGGCTTTGC